CAGCTCAGAGCCAGGAGCCTGCTTTGGATTCTAGGTCTCCCTCTCTCTCTCTCTCTTTCTCTCTCTCTGCCCCTTCCCCATGTGTGCTCTGTCTCTCACACTTTTAAAAATAAATAATAACACATGAAAAAAAAAAAAAAGATAGTGGATGGTCGCAGAACTCTGTGAGTATCCTAAAAAAGGTCTACGGCTTTACCACACTGAATGCATTCAGTCTCATCTAAAAGACATAGACTTGCACACTTTAAAAGGGTGGATTTTATGGTATGAAAATTATATTTCATTACTGCCATTAGCAACATGAAAAGAAGGAAGGGGGGGGAGAGAAAAAGGAAGGAAGGAAGGAAGGAAGGAAGGAAGGAAGGAAGGAAGGATGGAGGGAGCTAGTTACTTAACCGTAGCTGAACTTGCTGACAGCCTGAGCCGAAGTCTTTTCTCTCTGCTGAAGGGAGATTAAAAGTGTCAAAGTCACTTTAGAGACATCCCCATGTGTCCTGGCATACAAGGGACTTGAAAAAACAGTACCCTGGTGGGGAGCATATTTGCATCAGGGAAGGAGAATGAGGGGCTCCAGGGGTTCTGGAAATAGTCAGTGCCTTAGTTTGGACAGTTTCATGGGTGTTTTTACATGCAAAACCCCCTCGGATTGTACATTTATGATTTGTTCACTTTGTTATACCTCCATAAAATTTACTTTAAAAAAAAAAAAAAGCAGGTAGGCTGTTACCTTTGATTTTCAAAGGAGGTACCTTTTCTAGCAAGGAAGCACCAGTGCAATGTGGAGAAGCTCAAGAGAATTCTGAGTACAGTAGTCATGCGGAAAAATCAAGACTTCAAGGTCTGAGAGCACAAGAAGCTAAAGGGCCAGTGACCTTGAGGACAGATAGTTCTGACCAGCCAGCTGGTTTTGCACATGCTCAGAATACAAGGCCAGAATCAAGCTTTTCCTAGTCTCCCTGCAAAGTTACAAGTGCCAAGAAGGCAGGGCGCACGCGTGCCTCGTCCCTCACTCTGTGTGAAGCAGGGTACACATGTTTTTAGACGAATAAATAAATTTTTGTTTACAGTCCTCCAAGTTCACAACACAGGTACTTTCCCCATCCTTGCTAGAGAGGGGAATATCTTGTTCCTGACACATTCACTGTGTGCCCAAGCAACCCCTCAGTGCGTGGCAGGACAGGCGCCCCAGCAGGATGTGGGGCCGCCTGGTCTCCGTGTGGAAAAGTGAGTGTATGTGCCCAGCCAGATGTTCCTTATGCAACACGGTCACATGAAGTGAAATGGCTGACCATTCAGAAGACACTAGGCACACAAGAAATCAAATGTTGCAAAATTAGCCCCTTTCATGTGCGTTGCCAAATTAGTCACAGACCATGTGTCGCGGGAATGCGTCATGAGCACCAGCTCTCAGGACCAAAGGCCCTTATCCCTCTCTACTTTGGCATCTGAGGTCCCACACACAAAGATTTCAAGGTGCAGGGACTGGGCCCAGAAGGCCCAGTGGCTTCACTTGGAGCTTTCCCTTGTGTGCTGAGCTCCCTAGAGGCAGATGGCATAAAGTGCCTTGGTCGAGTTCACATTTATGAATTGTTACCCCAAGGTCATAGACACCACATGACTGGGCCTTCTCTGTGAATTTGAAGATCTTAAGAAACTCCAGCTTCGGGACTTGAACTTCCCTTTGGGACTTGTGTCTCAAACATAGACTAGTCTTCATTTCCTCTCTGAAGCTATTTGCATTCCCAGCCAAGCCACAGGACTCCTGAAAACTGGCCTTTCTCTTTTCAATTAACTTTCCAAAGGGCCAGTCTGAGCAGTCTGAGCAGTGCAGACAATGGGGAGGCTTGAGTTTTGGCCATGACTCTCCGCTGGTTCATGTGTGTGTGACCTGGGCCAAGTCTCTTTCCTTCCCTGTAACAAAGATCTGAAACCTGGGGCACCTGGGTGACTTGGGTGACTCAGTCAGTTAAGTGTCCGGCTCTTGGTTTCAGCTCAGGTCATCACCTCACAGTTTGTGGGATCCAGCCCCGAGTTGGGCTTCAGGATCACAGTGCAGAACCTGCTTAGGCTTCTTTCTCCCTCCCTCTCTGCCCCTCCCCGACTCATGTGTTTTCTCTCTCTCTCTCTCTCTCAAAATAAATAAATAAACTAAAAAAAATCTGCAACTTAAACAATGAGGAAGCCCAGATCCCCATCATCCTTTTCTATTCTAGCTGTAAATGATCCTGAACTGCCCTAAAACCTGCTAGCATCCAAGTTATCAGACTTTGAACCTAGAGAATTTGGAGATATGAGCTATGCTCTACTATGTAGTTATGTTACTCTCCGAGGGGAGGAACCACAATGATTTGGTAGAAGTTACTCAGGAAAAGATGGGGCCAACTAGGAAAATCTTTCTCTAAAAACAGGTATGAGGGGCGCCTGGGTGGCGCAGTCGGTTAAGCGTCCGACTTCAGCCAGGTCACGATCTCACGGTCCGTGGGTTCGAGCCCCGCGTCAGGCTCTGGGCTGATGGCTCAGAGCCTGGAGCCTGTTTCCGATTCTGTGTCTCCCTCTCTCTCTGCCCCTCCCCCGTTCATGCTCTGTCTCTCTCTGTCCCAAAAATAAATAAAAACGTTGAAAAAAAAATTAAAACAAAACAAAACAAAAAAAAACAGGTATGAAATTGGCTAGTTTGACCTGGGATCTAGAGCATGACTGGTTAGAGCAAAGCCTATGAGGGGTCATCGGCATCTGGCATAAATGCAGCCCTGGGATTTAGAGAAGAGCCTGAGTTTAGAATAAGACCCACCTAGGTTTGCATCTTGACCCTGAAACTGCCATAAGCATGTGACCTTGGACAATTTGTTCAACCTCTCTGAGACTCAGGTTTCTAGGATATAAAGTAGAAATGTTGATGATATTTGCCCAGGCGTCCTTGAAAGGTAAAGCACGGAATGCTATAGCGCAGTGGGAGAAACACGGTAGGGGCAGGAGATCTGCCTTCAGCTTGAAGGGAAAGTCCCATCAGTAAAGTTTGTATATTTGCCTGTTTTAAGAAAGGGAGGTTTAAATATGCTTTCAATGGGAGGGGTAGGATTTAGTCAGAAGGGAGCTGTTCTGAGTAGGTACCACATCGTGGAATCACAGGGGGAAGGGTAGAGGTGGGAGAGGAAGGAGGTTCTATGCAGGGCGGTCCTGTCCGCCCAAGCTCCGCCTGTGACTCGGGCTTTCCAGCCTCACACCTGCTTCCCCAACCACTGCCACGTCTGCCTCCTTCTGTGCTTCCAGTTAGGATGAGACCGGAATGACTGACGGAGCTTCTGAGTATCTTTTGTGTTTTTATTAAACAAAAGCCATATTATTTTCCCATGAGATGTCATTTTTGTGTCACACAGTATGTTCAGCTCAGTGTCGCAAAGTTGACCAAAAGCACAAGCCAACAGGGCCTCAGATCATCTTCTGCAAGTGAGGTCAGTGGTCCCCATCCTGACCATCCCTGATGAGGACCAAATGGGACTGTGACTGTTTTACTCCAGAAGGCACTGCACAAGTGACAGTTGGGTCCTCAAAGATCTTACTTTGTACCCATGGGGCCCATAGTTGGGGCGGGAAAATGAGATGTGAATTCACTAAGAAGCCAATAAATGAGAGGCACCTGGGTATCTCAGTCGGTTAAGCATCTAACTCTTTCAACGTTTATTTATTTTTGGGACAGAGAGAGACAGAGCATGAATGGGGGAGGGGCAGAGAGAGAGGGAGACACAGAATCGGAAACAGGCTCCAGGCTCTGAGCCATCAGCCCAGAGCCCGACGCGGGGCTCGAACTCACGGACCGCGAGATCGTGACCTGGCTGAAGTCGGACGCTTAACCGACTGCGCCACCCAGGCGCCCCAGCATCTAACTCTTGATCTCAGCTCAGGTCATGATCTCACAGTTCATGAGATCAAGTTCCACATCGTGCTCTGCACTGACAGTGCAGGCCTGCTTAAGATTCTCTCTCTATCTCTCTCTCTCTCTCTGTCTCTCTCTCTCTCTCTGCTTCTCCCCTAGCTCTCTCTCACTCTCAAAAGTAAGGCAACGCATGGCAAGTGCAAAAGGAGTAGAGACTTGCAGAGTCACAGAGACTCCACAAAGTGAAAGGAGACCTCCATGGACTGGGGAGAGTGGAGAATAATCCAGAAGGGTCTCACCAAGGTCCCAAAGCATGAGGAGGTGTAAAGAAGGCAGGTGGAGAACTCATGGAAAGGAGACAGTTGAAGGCCAGACCACGAATGTATAAAAGGACAACACGTGTAGTACACAAAATTAGCAGCCATATCCAAACAGTTGGCCCATTTCTAAGCTACGGACGATCCCTCAAGGTCATCTCAGCCATTTATAACCATCTACTGGGCTTCCTTTCTCACCCTAATGAGCCCAGGGGGCTGCTCATTGTGGCCACATGGTTCCCACCCATAATGATCTGGAAAAACACAAGACACTTACAGTGTTTCCAATGTTTTATCTCAGCCATGGATAGTTTCTTGTTTCATAGGCACATGCTAGATTTTAGAATCATAGGATTTGACAAAATCTAGATCTTGATGCCAGCAAAAAAAAACCTACCAGGTAGCTGTGTGCAAACTGGTTGGGTCACCATCAACTCCAAGCTTCCCTCTCCTCACCTGTGGAACAGGTAGAACAGCCCTGGCCCAGCCACCTACCACTCAGGATTATGGCAAATATGAACCTTTGTGGCCCCAGAGGCGAACGCTATGCAGATATGATTATGCACATTTCACAGGTCCTCAAACTCTCCTAAACCCTTGAGTACCTCATGGGCCTCCTCACGGGTAAAGGAGCCAAACAGAGTGAACCCGAGGTACAGCGTACAGTTCCAGCAGCCTTGTTTTGGTGTGCTATATAAACAAAGGTTTTCTATTCACGCTTGTACTTTAAGGAAGAATTCCACCGATTAGGGAGAAATTCTTTTTTAAGTTACGAGTAAAGTTTAATCTTTAATCTCCGTGTTTTACAGGAAGGAAAAGTGAAGCCCAGAGAAGTTGATCAATCTGCCCAGGGACACGCAGCGACAGAGGTAAGATCAGAGGCCATTTCTAAAACTCTTGCTTCTGGGCTTTGCCCACTACTTTGTTGGCGCAACAAATGCTGGTATGTTCTATGAACCAACAAGAGAAAACACCACCAAAGTCCCTGCCCCATGGTGTAGATACACCCTTCCTGAGGAACAGCAGTGTGGCTTATAAACCACAACTCACCCCCAGGCCGAAGGAGTGATTCCAGAAAGTTGCGGGAGGAGCTGCAGAGCTCACGTGGTGGGCACGTGAGGCTCTGACACGTGGCTAGACCACGCTTTCCAGCATGTCTTCCTTGGCGGATGTAGCAGCTGCCTGGCAAGCACACAGCACCAATAACACTGTTCCCACTTCATTGCTTGCATACTTCAGGCCATTCGAGCAGATGTGCTCCTTTCTTAAAAATAAAAGTGGCATTAATTTTCACCAGTGCTCTCCCTTCCCACCCCCATCCCCAAAGGACTCACATTCCTCCTTCCGGCAAGCTCGGTTCTATTGGGTTCAAGACTAAAGTTCAAACTCCAGATTACCATTTGGTAATATGTTTGGAAAATCATCTCATTTAGAAACAACTGAGGTTGTATGAGATCGTGTGTGTTGTTGAAACTATCCCAGTATTTTTTAAGTAGGAAATTCCAGAAATTCTATTTTCTCTTCTTTCTTATCTGATATTTCTTGTTTCGTACAGGAGGTGAAGGTTTTCTCCTTGGAATATTGAAGAGGAAATATGCATTAGAAATACGTCAAGTCATGGGGCGCCTGGGTGGTTCACTCAGTTAAGCGTCTGACTACGGCTCAGGTCATGATTTCATGGTTCGTGGGTTCGAGCCCCACGTCGGGCTGTGTGCTGACACCTCAAAGCCTGGAGCCTGCTTCGGATCCTGTGTCTCCCTCTCTGTCTGCCCCTCTCCCGCTCACACTCTGTCTCTCTCTCTCTCTCTCTCTCTCTCTCTCTCTCTCAAAAAACAAATAAACATTTAAAAATTTAAAAAAAAAGAAATATGTCAATTCATGACACGAATATATACCAACGTCTGAGAAATCGTCCCTGATCTCAAGTTGCTTCCAAGCTTATCAGAGATGTATGATACAATATAGAGTTGTATATTTCTATTAGTCTTTCATGTATATACAGTATATATATGTGTATGTGTGTGTGTGTGTGTGTATGTGTTGTATGTTTCTGCATGTGTGTAGGTGCATACGTGTATGTGTGTGTCCCATCGATTTTGATTGCTGCAGAGGATCTAAGGCCACCACTGGCTGGAACAGAAAGAATTAGCGTGGTCTTGAGGGGCCGCGGTGCCCGCATGGGGGCCTGGGGGTAGATTGGGAAGGACAGATAAGGGTGTTCGAAGCCAAGAAAATAAGTGACCTGAGATACAAAGACAGGACCAGGGGCCGACAGCGTCCAGGGGAAACTTTGTATGTGAATTAATCTTCTAGAACTGATTCCAGGATCAGGACTAGAACCGGTGCTTTGGTGAACAACATCCATAAACAGAAGAGGATCAGAAACTAATGGGATTGAGTCAGTCTAAAGCCAACCGATGTTATGGGCAAGCCTTCATTCACAGCCTGGTAAAGTACAAATGATTTACCCCCAGGGTTGGAGCTATGAGGCCCAATCCAAGGCCTCCAAAGCTGCAGTGTAAGATCCTTGTCTGGCTGTGTGAAGGCAAACATGCCCATTCCTGGGGCTTCATCAGCCACGTAGGCACAGACTTATCTCATTATCTTTAGTAAAAGACACCCAGAACCAGCTGGGATCATCATCCCCATCCTGCAGATAGTAAGCGGGGCACAGAGTGATGAAAAGTGAAGCACAGAGAAGCAGACTACAGCTCCAAGAGGAGGGGTCCCATCCCAAATGCAGGCATCTGCCTGCCTCCAAAAGCCACACTGAGCATTGTCACTCTAATCCTATCCGTGCAGGGGCCCACACTCTGCATTCTCACCCTGCCCTGGAGAAGTGAACCGACCCGAGTGAGCACTCAGAGCCAGCACCCAGGTACTGCTGTTGCCGTGTCTTAGGGCAACGCCACAAATGAGCGATACACCACGAACAGACCTTTTTCATCAATGCTGTCAATATCCTCTCGACGGGTTCAATATGTAGATGTAGCTGAAAAGTCTTAATTTCCTAAGACATTTTGCATTCTTTGGAGCACTCTTTGGACACTTCTTCCAAGTGTAATATTCTGGAGCTCAAGAGAATGCGGGTGGGTGGCCAGGCCTCTGGGCCTCTACACTGCCCAGTAGAAAGCAAGTAGCAGAGCCACTGATTCTGGTTCCTTCCTTAGTGGGTAGGTGTGCTAATGAGCTGAATGTATGCTCAGTGGAACTAGACACGAAGAATTTCCACTGGGGGATTATTCACTCCAAGGGCAGGAATAGTCCCCCGACGGGAAGAATACAGGTTCCGGATACGTACTCCAATGGTCCACCTCAGACTGTTGGGCAGGCCACAGCAGGACAGTGTGGACTGCAGAAACAGCTCAGTGAGCCACATGAAGGGAGGCCCGCCCATCTGTCTCATGAAAGAGTGGACCATGGAGCCATATGTAGTCTCACAGGAAGCGGCCCCTCGTAGACAGCCCTTCACGGCTTCCAGGGCCCTGCTCTCTGACAGAGCATATTGTTGTAGTGGAACATTTATTAGAAACGATGGTGCAATTTAACTAGGGAGCATAGGAGGCTGCTTTCCCCTCAAAGATCTGTGGCCATGACGGAAATGAAAAGTCTGGAGCTGGGGCGCCTGGGTGGCTCAGTCGGTTGAGCATCACACTTCATCTCAGGCCACGATCTCATGGCTTCATGGGTTTGGGCCTCTCATCGGGCTCTGTGCTGACAGCTCAGAGCCTGGAGCCTGCTTCATATTCTGTGTCTCCTTCTCTCTCTGCCCCTCCCCTGCTTGTTTCTCTCTCTCTCTCTCTCTCTCAAAAATAAACATTAAAAAAAAAACTTAAAAAAAAGAGTCTGGAGCTTAGCCACTGCCAAAGGTGACTGAGTGGGACCCGGTGTCCAAGAGCCTCCTGAATCAGGTTCTAGAAGGAGAAGGAGGGTGGCAGGAGAGATGGGCCATCTCAGCCAGACTGCTAGGCTCTGCCCTTCCTTTCATTTTCAACGTTTTAACAGAAATTTTTCACTTTTGTCTTCCCTCCGACACCCATGGAATGACTGCCTGCAGCCATTTAGATTAAAACAGAGGAAGACTTGAAGAGACAGGGTGGGATTGGGGAGGTACCAGACGCCTACCAGCTGGTCTCAGTAGCATCTTTGTTCTGCAAGGACTACCCGGTGGTCCTAATGCTCCCATGACCCTGACGCCCTGGGCTGAGTTGGGCGACAGACACCAATGCCCGCTATGGGTATGCCTTTCCACAACTGCCCTTTCTGTGATCACAGGTGTGCGTGCTGACTGGCACTGCAGGGACCACACAGGTCACCTCCAGGAATGGGACTGACCCAGGAGCTGTGACAGAGCCAAGTGCCAGAGCCAGCATCACTTCGTGACCTCAACGGGATCCCTGTTGTTCCCGGGAAGAGCGTTTTCCTTCACCATTCAAGTGGATGATGAAGACACACGTGGTGGAAAAGCCATATGTGTAGCTTTGAGACGGACTCACAACTGGGAGATGGAACCAGGAACCAGCCCAGGGAGTGGCCTCGGATGTGCGGAGAGCTCAGTGCATTTTGATGTCTTTCAGTTGGGGGCACCATGACTCCTAAAAGGACTCCAGAAGGGAAGCAGGGCTGATTCGGGTTCGGATAGCCTGTTTATTGGTTAGAATTAGGTCCGGATCAAATAACGGAAAATACCCAAGTAACAGTGACTTAAAATTCAGGGAGGTGAGTGTCTCACACACAAGTCCAGAGGAGGGCATTCCAGAGCCCCATGAGTTCTTGGAAACCTGGGTGCCTTTCAGCCATCCCTGAGATGGTTCTCATCTTCAGAGGTCACTATGGCAATTTTCAGGCAAATTTCACCAAGAGAGGGAGGGCATGGAAAATGGGGCAAAGGGCATGTACCAGTTATCTCTTAAGAAAAACACCCTAAAGCTTCCCCAAGACTTCTCTGTTTGAGTCCTATTGACTAGAACGTAGTCTGATGGCTTCATCTTCAAAGGAGACTGCAAAATGCAGTTTTATGTTGAGAACCCATGGCTCCGGCCAGAATGTCTAGAACCCTGGAAGAAGTGGAAAGTGTCTTTAAGAGGTTCACCAGCACACTCTAACACAGCCCCTTTAAGAGAAGTTAATTCCTTCCACAAACACACACATCCTGCAGAGCCTCTGAGCTTTTCCTCTCCACCAGAATTGTCTTCCTTAAGCAGATGGACCCATGTTCCCTTTTTGCTTTGGAACCTTCTATGACTCTCCACTTTGGATAAGAAGACTCTCGAACACTTTCCTGCCTTACAACTGCACACGAGATTCAGAACATTTGTTGCTTCCTGCCTGCTGAAGCTTCCGGCTTCACGCCAAGTGACAGTTACCATTTCTACCCTAGTGTGGCTCGAGCATTTGCGCCTATCACCATGGCTGTCATGAGATCACCGCAAACTGTTAAATTTCATGAACAAGGGACTAAACAAACCACATACAGACTCACGGAAGAAAAAGACAGCTGGATAGCTTGGTTAGAAGACTCAGGAGTGGGACTCTCACAGCCAACCTTGGGGAGGGAGCAGAGCTGACTATTTCTTTGGGCCCTCTTCCCAACATCCTGCTGCCCTCAGATTTCCATGCTCTCTTGAGGGCAAGCAAGGTGGGTAGATTACATGGGTGGATAAGTCACGTTTGCACAGTGGTTAATGGGGTCGGCAGTTTTACCCAGTGTTGCCCTCACAGCCCAGAGACCTTGAGAAAAACAAGTCTGCGCACTGACCATATAGAAAAGTAGTCGGGCGCCTGGGTGGCTCAGTCGGTTAAGCGTCCGACTTCAGCTCAGGTCACGATCTCACGGTCCGTGAGTTCGAGCCCCGCGTCGGGCTCTGGGCAGATGGCTCAGAGCCTGGAGCCTGCTTCCGGTTCTGTGTCTCCCTCTCTCTCTGCCCCTCCCCCGTTCATGCTGTGTCTCTCTCTGTCTCAAAAATAAATAAAACGTTAAAAAAATTAAAAAAAAAAAAAAAAGAAAAGTAGTCATATTGGAGAGACAGGAAAGGGACATGTGCTGGCACTTGTGTGGCTTTGCTTATGCACAAAAAATTATTCTAAAAGCGGGTCTTGTCCTTGAGATGTAAAAGAATGAGGAAGGAAGGGCCGTGGGGTAGACCATCGGGCTCGGAAATTTCTGAGTATGGCTCCTACAACTACTATAAATCAATAATGGACCTTTCTCTCCTGATTATCAAGGGGAGTGTGTTACCCAGGGGCCCACAATTATCCTCAGAACAAATCCCTTTCATGAAGCTGAGCTCACTGACACCTGTTTTGTTGCACACAAGTGAACACGGACTTATCTGGACTGGCTCAGCAGCATGAAGTTTGCAACTCAGTAAAGTGCAAAACCATACTTAGGCAGCAAAAAGTCTAAATCTTCTCATAGCGCATTGCCATTCCCTCTCATCTCCTGGGAGTTGGTAGCTCAAGTCACAGTCCAGTTCTGGTCATCATTCAGCAAGTGTCCATTTACAGGAACTCTTCTATGCACTGGGGAAAAAGAGGGGAGGAGAAGCTGAGAGTTTCTCCCCATCCTGGAGCCCAGCATCGGAATAGATTCAATGTCCATGCAGATGATCAATCCCAAGTCTAGCCTCTGGCAAGTTCTAGGAGCAGAAAGTACATCAAGGGATCAAAGG